TATTTTTCTAATTGATACTAATAAATAATTTTATTATATTTATACAGATAAATATAACTTATTTACTTATACATACAATATGGATGTCAATTCGAAGCTCATCAAAAGATGATTAATTTGATATATTGTATATGTAAAATCGATAAGAAATTCAAAATTTATCAACTTTTAAAATACATTTACAATTCAATGGATTATAATAATTAATAAATCGAAAATGATAATAAGTAATCAACATATTTTTTGTAATCCAGACCTAATTATTTTTTGATTGGACTTAAATTAAAATTTATCCAAGCCAAATGATGAAGCAAAATATTGACACCTATGATCCCGAAGCATGGGAGTCTGTTACTTAGGCTCAGCACATTCGGTAAATATAGGGGATTTTTTTAAAATATTTTGTTATATTATATTGTTGATTATTATTAGGGGTTTATGGGAAGAATATTTTTTGAAATAGTTTATATAAATTTCTATGTTGTTTTATGAACTTCTATAATTTTAAATACTTAATCAGTTTAAACTATCAATAATTTTTTAAAATTTAAGATTTTGCAATTTCATTATCAAATTTTGTGTATGATGCATTAAATTAATATTTATTACTACATTTGATTCGACATTTACATTAAGTATATATATATTTGCCTTCATAAGAGAATATAATCAAGTGTCATCTAAGAATAATTAAACTCTTACTTAATAATAAAATATGTTTATCAATTATGTATATTACATTCCTTGTTTAGATGTTAGCTAATAATAGCGAATAGTGATGGTTGATTTGACTAAGTTCATCTTCAACCGAAAAACTCATTCTCAACCCATTTCGCAGTAACTGTCACATTTTGCAGTAATTCATCTCCAACCGAAAAACTCAATTTACATCAACTTTTACAACTTTTCAATACTACCCACATAATTTACAACTTTACAAATTAAACCACTCTATTATTTTAAATTCAATTTGGACTTTATGTAATAAAATTAATTATAAAGTTATAATCATATACATAATAAAATCGGAGAAAAAAATATTCATTAAAAATATAAAATTTAAAAATTACAACAATCAAGATAAAATTTAAAATTACAACGCACAAATAAATAATATGTATATTTTACATTATTATTGTGAAATATATAAAATTAAATGATAAATATAATATTTATTATTTTAAATATTATACTATCTAATTCTTATGATATTATTTTCTTAGTACATTACATTATTATTGTGAAAAATATAAAATTAATATGTATATTTACTCTACTATGAAAAAATAAAAAAATATACACTTGGGTTTGTATATATATATCAAAAATATTTTTAGATTTATTGGATTAAACTTGTTGTCAAATATGCATAATCTATAAATGTTTTAGTAATATTATAACTTCTATTGTTATTTTTAAAGTTTTAAAATTTAAAAACATATAATGAAGACAAAAATCACAGTAAAATCAAATAATGGTCATACAACTAAACAATATAAATAAAGTAGTATATAAATAACACCCTACAAAATAAAAAGAACCAACTTGTAATTAAAAAAAGATTTTGTGTTTTAGAACAGTAAAAACCAAAATTTGGTGTAGAAGAGGAGAGAGAGTTAGAAAAACTCATTTTGCGTTTTCCGTTTGGGTATCGGTTGGGGGCATATCACTCAATTTTTTGAGTTTTTGGTGCCGGTTGGAGAAGGTCTAAGATACTGTATTAACGGTTTGAAAATAGCTATTAGGTAAATAACGATTTATATAATTATTTTTAAAATTTTATGTTAACATATTATTCTAATAGTTCTCTCTTCCTTTTATATTAAGAGAAATTTTGCTCAACCACATAGCATGTTTCATTTTTTTTTTTAATTATTTATTTTTTTGGTCAACGACAAACCAAACAAATATATAGAAACACATAAAAGGAAGTACACACAAGAAACCAAATGGTTACCACGTTCCCACCTAAGCACACAACTATAGGTGGTAGAGCCTGGGGACTTGAAACTCAAGCCCCTTTAACAGCCCTCACGGCTAACTAAGAACAAACACTACCCCTTACATTATCCAACTTAAAATTACATTTAAGACCAGCAGAAATCAACATCAAAATATGTTCTATTACACTAGAGGTATAGTAGTCAGAGGGGTCTCTTCTCTGCAGTAAAGCTAGCACGCGTTTATCTTCAATTTTGCAGTTCACTTCCATCCACTTCATCTCATTCACTTTAAGTAATTTCCATCTAACTACTACCAGCACTGCCTCTCTGATCTTATTGCCTTCAAAGTCAGTGACCACTGTTGCACCAGGTTTTCTCCCTCTGCAGCAAATCCTTTAAGACTCAGTCTGCCACTAGTAGAGCACGAGGCATTGACATAAATAGACTTATGTCCTACCTCCATGTAGAAATGCTCTTCCAGCCCAGATCTTTGTCCTTTCTCACTCCTGCCGGCAACACTATCTCCAGAGTTAGTCATCCAGTATTCTAACCACTCATCCTTTGCACCATCTACATTAAACTTCTCCTTTGTCCACTCTTTACCGAACTTCCATAGGACGACTTCGTGGATCAAAAACTGAAGGTGTGGGATAGCATATCAAGGAAGTTGCTCTTTAACAAAGTCACATTCGGCATGTGCGCAAAACACTCCAAGGCCGCAGACGTTCACTTGGGACAGGCTCTTCGGCATCCAAGCGTTTGAAAAGGAGAGAGAATGAGCAGGATGAAGATGATGATGATATGGACGATGACTCGGAGTGATGCTACTGATGATGAATTTATATTATTTACCTTTGACTGTTCTTTGGAGTGGTATAGTGAGGTCTTGATTTTCTAACCTCATTCTATCCTTGATTTCTTATGGTGTGGGTGATGATGACTTTGAACTATTAATCTGTTGTTTAGGACGTGTTTTATTATTTGCAAGATGTGTTGAAAATTTCATAAGATATAACTTCTATTTTGTTGTGTGATGTTCTAACCTTACAAGATGAGATGTGTTCTATCCCTTATGTTCGAACATTATTATCTACTTGCTTTCTCTTGTGTTTTTACTACAGGTCATTTTCAAGATATGATTTTTGAACTGACTGCCAAAGAGGGAGATTGTAAGATTTTATTTTGGCAAGAAGGTCTAAAAATAGCATCTTGATGTTCTATACAAGCAAGGAAATAAAAGGGAAGATATACATTCTCTATCTCTCTTTTAATTAGGCTTAAATTATATGCTATTTGATATGAGAAGTTTTTATAAATGTAGTTTCTATAATACTTGATTCTGTTTTGTCGGAGATCTTGCATTCAGAGGAAGAGGAAGTTGATTGAGACACAATGGACAAGAAGATCTTAGCTTCCATACATGAAAGATCTCGGGCTTCGTTGGAAATTTAAAGAAGGAAGAAAATTTACTCCAGAAAGGAGGAAGTTTGAAAACTCCTTGCCTTGAGGAGTTTGTATATATACCCACACAAGTACCCTATTAAAGGTTGCTGAAATTATTGAAATTCATCATATTTTGAAGACTCCTTTGAGTGTTTTTTGATATTTATTTTTGAGTTCTTTTATGAGCAGTTATCCAGTATTCTTACACCACTAAGGAACTGTGTTTAGTTTTATTATTTACAAACACATTTCGTACTTATGGATTAAGTACTATGATAGCTGAGAGGGACTCTTAGCTTGTTTTAAGTCCACAAGGTTGTGGCAAGAGAATTAGTTAATAGGTTCGAGTATAATGTTGGCTAGACAAGAAGGGAGTTTATGTCTTATAAGCCCAAGCTGTACTTTGTGCGCGCAAACCGAACTATTAATGAAAAATCTCTAGTGGTAGTGGAACGCTCCCCGAATAGATTTTATAGTTAATTGCTTCCCCTTTTTATTTTTGGTATTCGAACACTATTGTGTACTCTATTTTACTCCCTATATTCGTTTAAAAGTAGATAAATAATGATGGTTTTGTGTCATTTAGGAGTGCAAGTGAATGATACAGTTCTTTCTGCATGTCTTTATCGACTTATGGTTATGCTCTGATATGTTTAGTTAATTTTGAAAAATATTGTATGGTTATTTGTTAGTGAGATTTTGAGCTTATATTAACATAGTATCTACAATAACATAATCAAAGTTTGTTGTTTGTTTGATGTAAAAGTAGGAGATAGATAATTGTGGAGTGATGATAGTTAATATTATGTGAGTAGATGAATAATGAATTAAAGTTGACATAATGTATAGAATGATCGATTGATATTATTTAATAATGATAATATTGAGGATGTGAGGTTGAGTTAAAGTTGAATCGAATTTTATTTAAACAAAAAGTGATTGGTTAAAAAATGATTGCATTTTTTGGACAAATCTTGTATTCAAGCATGCAAAACTGCTCTCTTATTTATTTGGAAGAATAATTCCAAATCTCACAATAATAAAACAATCACTTCTTTCCTTCTTGCGTTGGTTTAGATCCAAATATAATACTAGACAATTATTATTATTATTATTATTATTATTATTATTATTATTATTATTATTATTATTATTATTATTATTATTATTATTATTATTATTATTATTTTGGTGTTTATATTAATCCAACATTCCATAGGCTCTGCCCACAATCAACATGCAAGTGAAATGCTTAAAATGCAGCCATAAAGATCAAGAATCCACGAGCAAGGCCTTCAAAATAGATTACATCCAAAGCACATTGACCAACAAAAAGCAACCCAAATGCTACAATCACAGCTGAGCCATTTTTCCAAGCTACTAAAAAGCACACTTTGGGCTTCTCTCTACACTCTTCACCGGGTCACCAAAAAAGACGATGTGAACAACACATTCGTGACAAAAATTCTGCTAAAAGCCGGTCACTTGCAGCGATGCAGGAACTTAACAAATAAGACAACTAGTTTTGCCGAGGATTAAATGTAGTCAAGAGCAAGAGAACAACAACAAATTCTTCGTAGATTGTACAAAATCACCTCTTCAAGAGCTTGTGAGAGAAGATCCTCTTCGAGTAGGGACTATTTCGTGAGATTGCCTTGTAAGATTCGATTGCCTCGGCCAAAGTATGATGAAGACGGCCCTGAATTGAAAAGGCACGTGTGGAGAAACTTTAGTCAAAGATGACAATAGAAGCTGAAGTCGATGCTAAATATGGCTAGAATATACCAGTGGGATTTATCAGCAAATTGTGAAACCTTTTGGAGGTTCATGTCGAAGTTCAATGTAATGAGAATAGCATAGCATCTTCTGGAAAAATAACATCGTTTTTTTTAATATGCATTAGTTGTTATTCCTTCTATATATTAATTTTCAGTTTATAGACCGAGTGCTAACTAAGGTGTTGTTGAAGGACATAATATGATCACCGCATAACATCTTTTTCCGTGAATAACTTTCATCATGAAGCAAATCACCATCTTTAGCAGCTATCTTGCTAGAATCATTTTCGAGGCCTTATAAGCTCTTGCAAAATCCTACATGACCACATCTTATAAGATGTTTAAATAAAACAAATATGTTTTTTATAATAATTTCAAGAATTGAGCTCCTTTAAAACAACACATAAAAGAGACAGAGCAATTAATACAACCGATAAGCTATCAACACTAGTATGAGGCCTCACATATTCTATCTTATTCATCCACAGATTGGTCCTTTCGACTAAAAGTGCAGTAATGCAGTTTGATAAACTAAGAGATAATAAGTCATTCCGAAGACCGAAAATTTAATGAACATACCTCAGTAACACGAAGAGCTGTTTGAATGACATAATTTGCATGTGGGTCCTGGAGCAGCTGTTCAAAGTACGCTGCTGACAACAATTCTTGAACGATCTTTGACCGGATTCCATCATCACACACCACAAGACACTTCTCGATAACATGGCTGCCGAATTTTTGTCGAGCGAGATGTACATAGTGACTCTCAAACTGAGATGTCAGTTTGGATGTTGCAGACGGGATCTTAAGCTCCAAAATGAATTGGACGACATAATTTCTGCATGCAAAAGGTATGTAATTTCATTTAATCATCATTCGCGCCACATTATTTATAAGTAGACAGTATGAGAAAGCTAACTCCATTCATTTTAGCAATCAATAACGAAAATTGATAGACTGTTATTACAATACTATGAGAGATATCTATCTCACTCTCTTCGTTTGTGGTAAAGTGATATTTTTCTTGCGAACTTGAGTGATGAGCAAACATGGACAAGTTCATTAATTTTATTCCGACAAAATTTTCGACCTGAACAGGGATCACGAAGAAGATAGATGCAGAAAACGGGAATTCTGGTTTTATTAGTTGCATCTATAACATGTTGTAAATAACCCAAAAATGGTAGTTAAAAGCTTCAGGCATGCAGAAAACTAAGTTCCAATTTTATTTGTAAAAGGTCTTGCAGTGAAACAATTGATTAATTAAATTAAAAACTGAGAGAATCTGAATTATACAAATCCATTTGATTTTCTAATGTTACAAATAATCCCTCCATTATACTTTTGACTTACAAGAGTACATCCTCAACAGGGTCAAAGTGAGTATATCTGCATGGTAAATAAAGACCTGAAGTGCGTCTTTGATTGTTATTCGTCTAAACCTCAAGGGCAACTTTTGTATTTTGACTAGAGGAAAATTCATTATCTTCAAAAATATTGGTCTTACCCGTAAGCATCCTGAGCAAGCAGAAGCCCGTTTGCTGAAATCTCTTGAACCAAATTTTCTCGATACTCGCCAATCGCATGACTGATGCAACGCTGCAGAACACAGCACCCGTGCTGGTGTGTTGCTATATCAACACAGTACTTGGCAGCAGCTATGAAAATGAACTGCAAATGATACTTTTTGGTTCTCAATGAATACAACTATACGAGGAGAAGAGAATGATTCCTACTAGTTTATTCATCAGCCAAATGAGCGAGGTCTTTTTTCTATCAAACAATAATTCTCATGAAAACGTGCGCAAAGAATATTATATTAGCCAAGTAAGAATCGGCTAAGGCATTTGGGTTTTAGACGTGTCCATGAATGTGTTTTCGAGCCGGAGATAATAGATTTCTTCACTACCACTCAAGGATTACTTACCATATTCATGCTATCAAGAACAACTGGGTTCTTTAACAAAAAATGACCACAAAAGAATGCATGGTATTCCTAGTTCAAGATTCCTACTTGTGTTTGGAACTTAAAATTGGGTCGGTGGCACAAAAGCTCCGATGCAATAAACTTAAAATCTTAATTATTGTCAGCAATGAGACCTTTGTTTGCAATGCAAGGCCTCTGAATCTCTGAAATATACATTTAGAGATCTGACCATCTAGAGATAATCAGCCATAGAAAAATCAGATTCCAAATACATCACCTTTTTTTTTTTCTCAACTTTCTAAGACTTTACATCTAATAGCAGGATGCAAAATAGTGTCCTTACAAGCCCAAGATAACATTATATACTGAAATCATGAGAAATTCTATCTTCTATTTATTCAGATTGTTTGCAGTGGGAAGTGAAAACCTCAGCAACAGGATCTTTTTAGCTTTTGTCAGGACAATGCCTCTTAACAGGTAACACATTAAGAACCATAAGAAGAGCCTGTAGAATTCGTTGCGGACTATATAGTCGACTTCTCAGGAAGACAACCTTGTTGAGCAAATGACACTTAGTCACAGAAAAGAATCCACCACGGTACTCCATGCAAATGATGTTAAAGCAAATCTAGCCCTTATTGATCGACAAAATGAATGAAAATTTTTAAACATTCAACGTTGGTAGTTTAAGAAAAATGAATCAGTTTAAGAAACAGTAGTTCAGACTTTCAACGTCAGTAGTTGTTAAGGTCCAACTATATTAATTGGGTATGTACTACTATCAAGAATACGAACTAATGGATACATCAAAAACTAGCAGAATGCCTTTTGCAGTAGCTTCAAACTTCAGCCTATTACTCTGTTAGCAAAACATACTGATGTCTGTATGCTCCGGAAAACTAGACATTCAATCCTTAAACTTATCAGCCATTTTACGGATTCTATAATGTTTAAACCATTTCATTGCATTTTGAGTTGCACAAACTTATAAGTTTACAATATACGACACAGAGGAGCTTTGACATTATGGTGTTACCCATGATCTTCTAACCATATAAGTTCTAAATGTCAATTGTACTTGCAACTTTTCAGTACGCAATTAGGATAGCATCTGAGCTTATTATGCTGCAGTCATCCATTAATTGCAAGATATTTAAGAAAAGGAGGGAGATGGCGTGAATTGAATATAGTTAGCAACAACAGAGTAACAATATGATTCATGAACCACTACCATTATGCCCTTCAGAAGATAACACAAGTAAAAGCTAACCAAATTCAGATGCACATTCAATGTACCTCTGGGACCTGAGTGCTTTTCATATAGGTTGATTAAATATGAACCTACTCATAAAGAACAACTGTAAGAAACAAGCTGTAAAAGCATATTGTGCAGCATAGACACAGCAACTGTAATGGCAATTTATGTTCTTCGTGATTACCGAAGTGGCAAATTAAATGGCAACATCAATTTTCAAACTCAATAATCTCATAGTGCCAGAAGGAATTTGGAAGATGAACAATTACCTTACTATCCTCTGCAGAAAAGCACTGCAAGCACCTCTGCACAACATGATTACCATTCAAGTCCTTTATAAGGACAAGAAACCCCGGCTCAAGGGCCGAAACAACAATTGATATCTGCTGCCTTGTTTTAAGCGTCTCGATCAACTTCTGTACCACACGAGTCCTGTTACAAAAAATAAAAGTGAAACAAAGCTTCATAAGGCTATCTCCAGAATAAGGCAAAAAAAGGAAGGAAAATTAAGAAAAGCCAAAAACTCTACAGAGCTTACCCATGTGTGTTCAGAGAGATCCTAACGAGCTCTCCTGCTTCCTCAGTCACCCTCAACAGTATATGCATCCTCTGTTCCTCAGTACAAACCTCCAGCAATTTCTGCATGAGATAATTCCCAAACGGGTTCATCATGAGCTCGACTACATGGTCAATTATCTCTTCAAACACAATCTGCACATCCCGGGAAGTCCCCTCATCAAACATCCTCTGCATGAACCTGCAGCCATGTTGATCCTTGGCGATATGGTATATATAACCTCGAATTGCGGCAAGCGAGCAAGAAAACAGCTTCTTCTGTTCATGATGAAGGCTCCTTGAGCCATTGTTCCCTCTCGAGCGAGCCAGTCCTCTGCTCCACCCGTAATCAGTAACTTCTTCACCTTGGAGTATTAAGTCATCATCCCTAGTGAAGGGCCCGATACTCCCCTGAGGTACTCGGTTTATCACATTCGACAATGAAGGGTGGTGGTGAAGTATATTATTCTCTTCAGTACAATACGGGCTCAAACGAGGTAATGGCAACACATTAGGCATATAAAAGGCGTCTCTGGAAGTAGCTGAAGGTCTATTCAATGGGGTTGAGGGTACTTCTGACATAAAAAATCCGGCCGGGAAATTTCCATCCCCTTTAGTTTTGTAGAATCGATGGCTCAATGGTGAGCTACGTAATTCGGGCCGAGGGAAAGATCTTT